CTAAATGGCACCGAAATAAGATCCGATATGCTACAAGACCAAGCGAAGGAATGTTTTCACTTTTTTTGCTGCAAACATTGTGGAAATAGAAAAAAAACTTTCACCTGCTAAGTCGTTCTCTTGCAAAAATGTAGAAAAGTTAGTTACTTCAATATTTTTGTTGAAAAAATGACTCGTTTATGTAGACTCTTTCTGTGATCTAATAATATTTGAAATTCTGCTTTAGTAATGGATAAATTATTGCATATTTCTTTATTTTGAGCCAAACCCTTGCATATGAGATTTGAGGGTACTCATTTGTTCGGAGATATAAAGTCCGCGTTTATTTCTGAAAGAACCATTAATAGCACACAGAGTTTAATGACAAATATTCGGTCGTTGAGCTTACTGGCTTTACTGGAAGATTCATGCTGACGCTTTTTCCGAGGCAATCTCCTTCGATTCCAGTGAAAAGATGCTAAGCTTTCGTCCGTCATATGACGAACATCATCAGAGGAATCCGCCGTCGTCTTCTGGTGGAAGCGACCTTCGAATCTCTTCACCCAACACTTTCACTCGAAATGGAAGTAAGCTCAACAATTATGAAACAAGGGATTCCTTGAAACCCAACTTTTCTTCGCAAATATTCGGCTGGCTGTATATTCAAAGTTTCCCTGAATTATGAGCTAAGATGCGCTTGCTTTATCTTGAAAATCCAACTTTCCTTGTAACAAATTTCATGTCATCCCTTCAGAATGGTACTACCTGCAATCATGATTTTTTTAAAGTTGTTTGATCCTGTTTTCACAAATTGGCGATATTGGCTGGAAGACGTTGGGGAATGTACACTGTCCGGAGTGTATAATATGCCTGATCATTTGCAGATACGGATCGTGGATATGTGAAGCGATTATCTAGCCTGTATTTATTGAAAGAAGCACTTACACTTCATAAATCTTCCGAATTCACCTCTCAATCTGTATGTGCCTAGATTCGTTTCCTTCCTTTATCTGTTGCTATCATCGAGTTTAGATTAGCTGACGCCAGTTCTGTCTAGAAGCGCTACCTTTCCGATACCTCATATTCGCGTTTTATCTGTAAGATCACGAAACCATGTTCACATGCCCAAAATGTCCTCTCGCCAGAATTTACAAAAGTTGGTTACTTCTTGTGCCTGTGCTAAGAATGCGGACAGGTCATGGTCGGAATTGCATCCCGCCACGTACCAAAAAACACCTGGGCTCTACTGAACTTCGTCATTGTATCTGGCAAGCAAGCAAAGTTTTCGTCACTCCAACCACAGATTCGCCATTATCCGGTCATTCTCACAAGTACGCTCGTTTCCTTCACGCCAATTTGGCTTCCGGTGATGGCGTAGGCAACTGGGTTCCCATTTGGTGTGCACATTTCCTTCTCTGATTTGAGTTGATGTAGAAAACTGCTCTACTTAACAGTTAAGAAATTGGATATTTTCTCTAGAATGAACTGCAATGGACTCTACACATCATCTCATTAGCACTAATTAAATCGCTTGTACTTGGATTTTTAACATAATTCGCGACGAAATGGTCTCCTTTTCTCTACTCCGAATAGGCAAAAGAACGGGGTAGTTTCTCGTCGACCTCTTTTGTGTCGGGCCATGGGACAGGGTTTGGCCCAAGTGTCCCTCCCGCTCTTAACTCGCCTGTCCGCAGGGTTTCAATCTCGACTTCATTTGCCCGCGGATCATTGTTTGCTCAGGATCTTGCATTTGCTTCTTTTCAGAGCTTTTCAGCCGCCCAGCCTTCATAACCTGTCGGCAGTCACCATGGCTTGCACTGGCTTGATTTCTGTGCGTGTTTATGAATGTGTATGTGTGTATATATATATATATATATATATGTGTGTGTGTGAGTGTGTGTGTGTGTGTGTGGGAGGGGGTGT